AAATTTACACTTGGAGAAAAGGGCAGGCTGTTTAAAATTGAACTTGTTTTATGCTCTACTTCAGACTACTGTGTGATCCTACTTCATGCTTTCATGCTAACAGGCCCAAATGGACACTGAGTTAGAAGATGAAAATTTGCCATTTCAAATTCAGTCAGTTTTCCTACCATATGCTTCTTAAAATGTGCTGTTTTCTTTCTGATAATCATCACTGCAGACAAGCACTTTCAACCTCCTGTCACAGACTTCCTTTGCCATTTCTGCTATGGATATGATGTTTGTATGACTTTATAAGGTGAAAACCCTATCTTATTAAAAAAAAATGAGCTGCTCATGTAAGCATGTTGCTTCCTAACTTAGAATCTGTTTTCATTCAATTTATATACTGACAAAAAACAAACAAAAATACCATCTTGCCCAATCCCTTGCTGGCAAAGTAATACTAAATTCCACATAGTAAAGAAAACATTGCCTGAGAAATTTTGGTTTTGTTAATTATTTTCATGATTGTAGTATTTCACTCTGCTCTTTGAGAGTCAAATTTTAGTAGACTATTTTTTTTTTATTTTTTTTTGACAGGCAGAGTGGACAGTGAGAGAGAGAGACAGAGAGAAAGGTCTTCCTTTTGCCGTTGGTTCACCCTCCAATGGCCACCGCGGCCAGCGCACCGCGCTGATCCGATGGCAGGAGCCAGGTACTTCTCCTGGTCTCCCATGGGGTGCAGGGCCCAAGCACTTGGGCCATCCTCCACTGCACTCCCTGGCCACAGCAGAGAGCTGGCCTGGAAGAGGGGCAACCGGGACAGAATCTGGCGCCCCGACCGGGACTAGAACCCAATGTGCCGGCGCCGCAAGGCAGTAGACTATTTTTAACAAATTGAATATAAGCCCTAAAAATACATGCCCCTAAATTAAATTTTAAACATTTTATTTTTTAGTTCATTTTAAAAATTTTTTTAAATATTTATTTACTTGAAAGTCAGCAAGTTACACAGAGAGAGAAGGAGAGGCAGAGAGAGGTCTTCCATCCGCTGGTTCACTCCCCAGTTAGCCGCAATGGCTGAAGCTACACCGATCCGAAGCCAGGATCCAGGAATTTTTTCTGGGTCTCCCACACGGGTGCAGGGGCCCAAGGACCTGGGCCATCTTCCACTGCTTTCCCAGGCCAGAACAGAGAGCTGGATTGGAAGAGGAGCAGCCGGGACTTGAACCAGCGCCCATATGGGATGCTGACACTGTAGGCGGTGGCTTTACCTGCTACGCCTGCCCCCATTTTTAAATTTTTTGAAGAAAATCTCTAATATTACAGAACTAGACTGAAATGTATTAATATTCCACTCTTACATCTCCATGTCAGAAAAAATCATGAGCCAAAGGAAAAAAAGCAGGAAGAAGCTTATAAAACTAAATATGAATCTCAGCATTATTAGCTGAACAAAGAAAGGAGTTAAAGTGCTTTAATTAAAAAAAAAAAACCATGAGTGTATGATAAAGTGTGTAGAAAGTGGAAATTTACAAACTACTTAAAATCTGGAATCGTTGACTATTAAGAAACCACACAGGGTGTAAATTGTTGAAATCTTTACTGAGTATAGAGTTGATCTTCTGTATATAAAGATAATTAAAAATGAATCTTAATGAAGAATGGGATGGGAGAGGGAGTAGGAGGTGGGATGGTCTGGGGGTGGGAGGGCAGGTATGGGGGAAGAACCGCTATAATCCAATAGTTGTACTTACAAAATTTATATTTATTAGATAAAAACTTTCTACTAGAAAGAAAGAAAGAAAGAAGAAAGAGAGAAAGAAAGAAAAGAAAAGGAAAGAAAGAAAGAAAGAAAGAAAGAAAGAAAGAAAGAAAGAAAGAAAGAAAGAAAGAAAGAAACCACACAGATGGATCATGGGTGGTGGTAAATAGCAGAAAAGAATTATGGGTGAATCTGGATTGTTCTAGCTGCTGCCCATGCTACCCATCTCTGAGGAAAACCTGACACTGGTTGGATATTGAGCCAGGCTAATGCTGGCAGCAGATCCAGTGATGGTAACCTGTCTATCAATAGATCCTTCTACTAAATTTGCAGTTTTGATCTTCGCCCCAGACAATTGATGGATCTCACTGATTTTGGTACCTTGACACCTGATTATATAGCAAATCAAATCATTAGGAATGGTGAGTTCACGAGAAATAGTCTGAGCAGATGAATCCAGACCTGCACTGAATCTAATGTTGCCATACAGCATGGAAAATTACACTGTTGCATTGCCAACTGGTGCAGCTTGGTTAAATCTGGCTGAGGAATGGCATCCTGTACTTGAATGGTATAGGCCTGACCACCTGCAAAGATGATGGGTGAACTGGACAGTTTGGACCGGTATGGGATGCTCACGCCCTTCAGAAGGGACTGGGATAACTGGTGGAACTGGCCTCAGGGTAACCGGAAGTCTACAGGCAGCTGTGCTGTTGATCTTAAAGCTGCTGATGTCTTCTTCCAGTTTGCCAATGATGATAGCAAAGGCTTTGAAGATGGCATTAGTGGGTCCAGCCAAAGTGATAATGCTCTCAGGACAATTCTCTCCTGAGATGCTGAAACATTCACCAGTCTCCTCACGCATCTTCTTAACAGATTCGTTCCCCTGCCACCTTCCTTGCCATGCACAAGTAGCCAGATGGTGAAAGTGATATTTAATCTACCTACAGTCACACCTGTGTCCATGTTGAACAGTGTGCTTGGGAGCTGAAATTTGAGTGGTTTAACTGAGAACTTTGTCACCATTCCAGGAACTGAAAGTTTTAGCGCTGAAACAGCAAGTAAATATTTACTCTTATATCAGAATTCTAGCATCTTTACCAAGTTTACTTTCTGTTGCAGAAAATAAGAAAATTATTAAATACAACTCAAGTGCATGTTTGCACTGTAACTTGATTCTGATATAGCAGCTAATGAAGTTTTATGAAAATGGGGCCAATGTTGTGGCATAGAGGTTTAAACTACCATCTGCAATCCCATATGAGCACTGGTTCCAATCCAGCTTCCTACTAATGTGCCTGGGAAGGCAGCAGATGATGGTCCAAGTGCTTGGTCCCTTGGCACCCATGTGGGAGACACAAATGGAGTTCCAGTCTTCTGTTTTTGGCCTGGCCCAGCCCTAGCTTTTGTAGCTATTTAGGGAGTGAACCAGTGGATGAAGATCTCTGTCTCTCTCTCTTTCTGTCTGTAACTCTACATTTCAAATAAATATTTTTTTAAAAAGAAATAGACTCCTATTTCACTAAAAAGTTAATCTTAAATGGCATCTATCAGTTATCCTTTCACACCATGTTGAACTTGGGAGATTGTCGCTCCCCCTCTTGGTGGAAGAACGACACAGGCGCCCTTTGCGCCCACACCACGGCCTTCGCGCCAGCCCCGCGTTCTATCTACTCGAGCCTCCTGCGCTCTCCCCGTTCGTGCCCCACGCGCTCTCTCTGCGCGCGGTGGCTTCCGCGAGTCACACAGCCTAGCTCACGTTTCCGCCACCGGTATTCAGTCTAAGTTCCCCGGGCTAACCTGGCGAATTCAACCTAGCCTCCACCTCTGGTTTTAGCTTTTCGCCTTTTGCTCCCCAGGCTGACTTGACGAATCCCAAGCTAGCTTACGTCTCCGCCTCAGCCTGCCCCCGCGGCTTCATTTTCCCTAACATTTTTCTCTACCCGGTATGTTTCCCTAAGTTTTCTTCCAACAATATTCCTCCCTCATTTCTCCTGGCTTCTCCCCATAGTCCGTATCCAAGTCTGTTTGTTCTAGCTTTCACTTTCGCTTTCAATCCTAACTTCTTCCAGCACTTCTTCCGTCCGGCTTTTCCCTAGGCTCTTCCCTAGTCTCTCTCTCCGGTATTTTCCCACTTCTTCCCGCTTCTTCCCTCCTAGGTTTCCTATCCGAGTCACGGCACCATTATGTCGCTCCCCCTCTTGGTGGAAGAACGACACAGGACCCTGCGCTGTTCTTTTGTCTGCTCGGCCCTTCCCGGGTTTGCTGCTGGTTCTTCCCGGGTTGGCTACCGTCCCTTCCACCTCCGTGGAAGGGCGGTTCCCCCTGCCACTTTCCCCACTTCCGCGGGGGAGCGGCACACCGCCGGCCGGCTCTCTCGGGGGCTGCTCAGGTGTTCCCCTTAGATGTTCCTGGTGCATGTTGTCTCTCTCCTCCTTTATAGTCCTCTTCTGCCAACCCCAACTCTGCTACCCACATGCCGAGTACGCTGCTCTGCTCCAATCAGGAACAGGATCAGCTCCTGCAGGTCATCACTCAAGTTGGCGAGAGGCAGCTGCGTAGAAGTTGTTACTCCCTTCTCAGCGCCATATTGTGGGAGAGCAGATGCATAGAATAAGTCTTAATTCCAGTAACAGTCTAGTCCGAGTTGCTCCCCACAGGAGATGTCTTATATGAAGTCATAAAGTGAAAGAAAACATTTTACATAGTAGTTTTTCTAAAAACATTGTGTTTTCTAAACATTTTAGGTGCTGTGATTACATTGTAGGAATTACTCCAGTGGGGCTGATTATTCAGCACTGTTAGATAAGAAACAAAAAAAGTTCTGTGCTAAAGTGTGGCCGAAGTCTCAAAATAGAGACTGATCCGAGAAAAGAAAAGGCTTCTGCTGGCGGAGGAGGTTCTTTCTCAATGTGCCCTGGGTATACTTCTGAGAGAGGGACGGGTTTTTGGAAGGGCCAAAACCCAACTTTTACGGAAGAAATTACTTCAATAAATAGGGATTTTACATGAAAAGAAATGCTGCTCTTCTGACACTTGATTTCACGTTCTGCTGCCCTGGGAAAGAGCCCGCACTGGAGGGCGGGTTCAAGGCGTGCCAGGGCCAGTCTCCTCCCCATCGCAGTACCTTCTTCCTTGTTCCCTCCCAAGTGAGCAACTGGGCTCTTTGCTCCTCCGACAGCGACTGCTGGGGCCGGAGGCTTACTGTGTTCCTGGCTTGGCCACACTAGCTGCTGCAGATCGGCGTGACCGAGGAGAGGAAAGAAACCTCAAAGCTTCCAGAACACTTCCTGTTGCAGGAAACGATTTGGCAGGTAAGAAAGATCACTCTTTGGAAACCCCGGGCACCGCAATGAGAGGTAAAAAAGCTAGAAAATCTACCGAGAGGAATGTAAGTTCTCCCATCTCACTGCACTGACAGAAGGAACATAAAGCCAGAGTGGAAACTTCCCCTTATCCAATGCGGGGCATTACTGCTTCAGGGCACAGGTTCTCCTCTTGGTCTCATGACCCCTTTACACTCTGTTAAGAACCTGAAGAGTATTTGTTTCTCTAGGTCAGTTACTACATTACTGTAATTTACTTAATTAGAAATTAAAACACAAGTTTTCTAATAGTTACCTAGTGATCTATTTTAAAATTACAATAAACATATCACATGTTAGCATAAATAACATTTTTAATGAAAGGTAACAATGTATTCTGAAAAAAATCCAGGTTGAAGAATGACATTGTTTTTCATTTGTGCAGATGTCTTTACTGTGGACTCATGTGCTTTGCATTCAGTCTAGTTCAGTGTTACACAGGGTACAGTCTCTGGTAAAGTCTGTCCTACCCTCCAGAGTGAAGGAATGTGGAAAAGACAAATCATGCTATTGGAAAATAACTTTCTCTCTCTCTCTCTCTCTCTCTCTCTCTCTCTGTCATGCAAATAATACATTCATAACAGGAAAGAAAGAAAATAGCTTTTACTTCCTCAAGACCCCTCAGGGTTAAATAGCTTTGACTTTTTGTAAACCCTTGAGAATCACTGCTTTGTGGTGATAAATTAAGTGTCCTTTCAGGAAGTCTCAGCTCTGAATCAGCTATATTAAAAGCAAGGAAAATATTTGCACAGGGTTGATAAGCTTGATGGAATTTGCAGCAGCACCCTTAGGCTGGGCTATAATTGCCTAATACTTTAGTATTCCCTATGAGGATTTTATTTCACAATAAGTAAAGGGCCAAATTAATATCACTGTTTTGTAACTCAATAACAATCATTAGGATACCTTTAAACTCTTCTTTCCTATTTGCTTATATTCAGTTACTTAACGTTTTATTAAATCTTCCTTCCTTCAAATTTTTTTAATCTACAATGTTTTATTATTACTTATGAGATTAAATTCATCTACTGATTTCCAAAACCCTCCATAATCTAACCCCTCCTTACCTTGTGTTCACTGCAGGACAGCAAGACTATTCTATAACAGTCAAAATGTGGCTCCCATCAGTCCACCCTGACCTGTATATTGTTGATTACAACATAAAGGCTCCAGGCCCTTCTCCATCTATTCAAATCTTAAACATTCTTTGATATTCAATTCAATTTTACTCTTCACACAAACCCTTTCCAGCTACATTAGTTTTGCTTTGAGGCTGTACTTAGCAGTTGATTAGGTACATCTATTTATCTAATTTAAAAACTTTCTTTGTCTTATTTATTTGAAAGGCAGAGAGACAGTCAGATAGACAGAGATTTTCCATCTGCTGATTCTCCCCCTAAATGCCCTCAGTCCAGGACTGGGCCATACTGAGCCAGGAGTTAGGAGCCCAATCCAGCTCTCCTACGTGGGTAGCAGGGACCCAAATCCTTGAGCCGTCACCTGCTTCCTTCCAGTATAGAGCTGGAAGTATTAGTGGAACTCAAAGCCAGGCACTCCCACGTGGGATGCAAGCATCCCAAGAAGCGCCTTAACCATTATGCCAAAAATACACCCCTATTTACTTAATTTGCAAGTTATCTTTTATGCCTACCTCTTTCTTCCACACCCATATATACACATTCATAAAATGGCAACATTTTCAAGGACAAAATGATTCCTAGAGCTGAGTTCAGTTTTTGATCTTGTTGCTGTAGTGATAACTGCTTATCTGACTTGAGAGAATTGTTTAAGTGGCATTCTCCCTCATTTCATCCCATATCTATTCCATAGAATTGGACTTCCACAGTAAGAATAAACATAACCATAGTTACTTTTCAAGTTCAAGGCGTTTCACTTTTAATCCAACAGTATGTTTATATATAAACTCCTACGAGCTTAATGATGCTGATTATTGTGTCAGAATTAGTAGGAAGGGGTTACTAGGGCATTTGCCACATAAAAAAATTCTCTTCTGGAAGGCCTAACTACAGTATAAAATTGCAGAGTGCTGGGAACTGGAAAAGACCTTAAAGACTGACCTTTCAAGTTCCTTTTTTGGCCAAACGGACGAAACTGAGGCCCTCAGAATTAAGTGAGTTGCCCCAGACAAAATTGGAAGTCACATGACCTAATTTCCATCCTGATGGTGTACCATTCACTTGCTGCCTGTTAGTTTCTTTTTTTTTTAACTTTATAGATAATTCTTTTTTTTTCCTTTTAAAGATTTATTTTATTTGTTTGAAAGAGTTACAGAGAGAGGTAGAGACAGAGAGAGAGGTCTTCCATCCACTGGTTCACTCCCCAGATGGCCGCAACGGCCAGAGCTGTACCCATCGAAGCCAGGAGCCAAGAGCTTCTTCCAGGTCTCCCATGCCAGTGCAGGGGCCCAAGGACTTGGGCCATCTTCCACTGCTTTCTCAGGCCATTGCAGAGAGCTGGACTGGAAGTGGAGCAGCCGGGACTAGAACTAGCTCCCATCTGGGATGCTGGCTCTTCAGGCCAGGGCTTTAACCTGCTGTGCCACAGCGCTGGCCCCTGCCTGTTAGTTTTCAAATGCTTGTATAACTGAAGTTTTTCATTTCAAAGAAGCGATTGTCACTGAAGACTCCTGGGAACATCTTTCAGATGGCTTACAACTCTTAAAAAAAAAAGTCAATAGCTTGAGAATCTTAGATGAAATATTGAAAACCTTTTAAAGCAGTAGAGAAGAAGAAAACACAACATTTGTGATCATGATTCCAGCTTCCTGGTAATGCACACCCTGGGATGCAGCAGATCGACACCACCCACACGGGAGATCCACACTGAATTCCTGTCTCCTGAGTATTTGTGGAGTGAACCCATGGATGGGTGCACTCGCACACACTCTCTCTCTTCCTCTTGCTCGGCCTATCAAATCAAATACAATACATTAAATATTTTTAAAGTATAATAAATAAATGAAGAATTAAAAATAAACACATGAAATACAAAGAAACTAATAGAAAAAAGAAGAGGAAAATGTTAGAGGCATTATTCTAATTGTTAAACATTTGTTTCCAGGCTTCCCTTATTTTCTTTCTCATTGGCTGTCAGATGGAAGGACTGTTTTAAGACAGAAAAAAACTTTTACTAGGCCTTTTCCAGAATGTTGTCATGGTTACAAAGTTTATTATAGCAAACACTTATTTGTTTAACATTTATTGATCTCCTACTGTGTAATAATATCTTTCCAGGCATTGAGGATTCATTGTCATAAAGAAACTTAGATTGAATCCGAGCAGACCTATTTGTGATCAGAGTATTTTAATTCAGTGTAGTAATTCAGAAGCAGGACCAGGGGGTGAGGACAGGGGGACTCTTTGGCAAGAATGATCAGCCAGCAGTGGAGCAGTCTGGGAAGTTGTCTTAGAGGAGGTGCTGGAGCTGAGATTTAAAGGGTGAAAAATGAAAGTTTGGGGAGGAAGAGAGGAAGCGAGGAGGAGCGTGGGAGCCAAGAGAAAGTTCTAGTCTGGCAGAGGGAATAACTGGCAACAATGTGAAGTTGCACAAAATCTAGAAGCAAAAAAAAAAAAAAAAGTATTAAAATGGAAGATATCAGAAGTGTGAGGAATTTGATTTTAAATGGTGTTGGTGGAGATGGAGAGGAGATACCAGATTCCAGAGACCTTTTTGAGTCAGACTCCACGGTATTTGTCAGACAGGGGATAGGTTAGACAAGAATTTACTGCTGGATCTAGCAAATGAAATTAACACTTTGAGAAGCAAAGATTTGAACAGCTCTTGTCTCAACTGTTGAGGAACAGTTCTTTTTTTTTCCATACTGTTTATTGAACTCTTTACTTAACAGAGTTAATCACAGTGTATAAAGTTAATTAAAAATAGATCTTAGTAAAAAATAATAATAGGAATAGGACAGAGAGGAGGAGGAAGGGTAGGAGAGGGGGTGGGAGGGTGAGAAGAATCACCATGTTCCTAAAGTTATAATTTTGAAATGTATGAAGTTTGTATTGCTTAAATAAAAGGTTTCTGGGGAAAAAAATGACTGCCGGGTTTCAGTTTTGGACAGGTTGCTAGCACATGTTTTGTAGTCATCCATTAAAAATCTTACGGTTAGAACTGTGGGTATGGAGCCAGAAGCTGAAATTTGCAAGTTATATGTCCTCCAATATCCACCAGCCTCATTCCAAAAGAACAGCATGTGATCCCTGTCCTTACTTTATTCCCTCATGTTCTGTCCTTGACCTCTGCCAACCTGCCTGTTGCTGGCTCTACTTTAACTTTATGGTCACCACCACTTCGTAACTGGTAAATTCAAAAAGCAAGTTTAAGCTTGTATTGAACATGGGATCTGCAGCTTCTGTTTTCAAGCAGCCACTCCCTGAAATTCCTTTCTCCTTTGGCTTCTCTGACTCTCTCAGGTCTTCAAGTTTTCTTAGTTAATGGGGTAACCACTCACAAATTGCCCAGGCCAGAAACTTGGAAGTCACCCTCAGTTCCTTCTTCTTCCATTTGATCCACAACCAATAATATTTTAAAATCCTGTTGTTTAATATCTATTGAATCCACCACCTTAGTTTATAGCCTCATCAACTCTTAAACTGTTTAACTTGCATCTCAGATTATTTTCTGGCCTCTGTCCAGTCTTTCCCAATTGAATCCATTCTCTACACTGCTGCTAGAGTAAGATTTTGACATAAATTTGACCATGTTGTTCTCCTATTTAAAGTAAGTCACTATTTTTTCAGTAAAAACCCTTTACTCTTTTAACCTGCTTAAACAAGGCCTTTATCGTCTGACTTTCCTTTCCAAGTTTTGTCCAATAAAGTGTAAGTTGCATTTTTTATGAATTGTAAAATCAAACTAATGTAATATAACAATAACAATCTACCTTTATAGGCAAAATGGAAATAATGTGAATTGCTCCAAAT